AATCAAGGATAAAAAAAGTGGACTAAATAAGGTAATAGCATTTTTTTTTTGCCAAATGTAATACAGTGTAACATAAAAGCAAAAAATGAAAAACTAAGAAAGAATAATATGATGATATATGAATCAGAAGATGGCAAGCAATAGGGTCCCTGAAGGACTAGTGGTTAGGTCACAGCACTCTCACTGACATGGCCTGGGTTTGATTCACAGACAGGGAACCAACCCCAGCCACTGGGGTTGCACACGACAGTGCGCTCCCAGTGTCAGTCCCAATCCCAGCTAAAATTGAGGAAGGCTGCATCAGGATGGGCATCTGGTGTAAAAACTGTGCCAAATCAAATATGCGGACCAGTGATCAGCTGTGGCGACCCCTAATGGGAGCAACCAAAAGCAAAAGATGAAGAACAACAACAAGCTACAGAATAGATTTGAGTATAAAATACACTTCTGCCATTTGTCTAGGGTTACCAAATCTCCTGAATTGGCTGGGAGACTCTGGTAAGTAACCCATTAATTAATTCTCCCAGGTCAGTTTTTGGCTGAAATGAGAAATGAAAAAAAAAAAAAAGTGAACCCTTGGGTTTATTTAAGTGGCATGAGATATAACCTCCCCTGTGTGTTTCTGTGTGTGTGCTGAGTGAACACTAAAGTCCTTTCTGAAATCACTGATAGAGACTATATAGACTGTTATATGTAAGGCACTGTACAGGGCAGCAGTGAGGGAGGCAATGGATGAATTGCAGAGAAAACGTCTCATTGTAACCTGTCCTAAAGTTAAACCATCAAAATACACCGTTAAATGTCATTTTCTAAATTAAATGCCCAGTAATTGTTAAACTCTTTTTTGCTTGCATTTATATACAAGGTTTGCTGCTCCATCGTCTAGGGTTGCAAGGAATGCATGACAAAAGAACCCCAATGGTCAATAAAATGATCCTCAAAACCAAAACTCCTATACACAGCCTTTAAATTCCACAGCTTTTAAATTCCCACAGCTATCATTGCCATATGCACTGGAATACGATATTTTAAATTATATTATACATTTAACAAAGCAGTTAAAAAACAACCCTACATTTAACTTAACTGAGAACTGTGTCAGAAGGCACCAGTTGCCACTGTTGTTGCCCCACTTTGTTCATATTCTTAAATATAATTAATTACAATATTGTGTAATTTTAAAACATAAGTTACATCATGCTTATTGTTCATATATTTGGAAATAAGCAATGTCTTTCTTAAAGATAATAATTAATTTTAAGCCAACTTTTTTTTATATATAAATTTGAGGATGCAAATTTTAGGCAGCATACCTCCTTTCCTTTATCTACAGTGGAAATATAGAGTTCACACTCCTGTCAAAATTGCAAGTTTTTGTGTGTGGTGTAAAAAAAAATGATAGATCATGTCATGGCAGATCTTTTTCGACTGTTAATCCAATACAGCAACCAACAAAATTCCAATGAAAAAGAAATTGAAATGTTTTAGGGTAAAAAGATAAAGGAAAGACTTACAATAACCTAGTTGCACATGTATTGAGGCATGTGACTGTGCTTAGAATTAACTAATCACATTCAAACTCATGTTCAAAAGTAGTTATTATACACCTGCCATCAATGAAGTGATTCTGATTAACCCCAAATAAAGATCAGCTATTTCTGTAGGATTTTCTCGACATCTTCTTGATTTCATTGGACTGGAAAGAGCCATTTTCAAAAAGTATTGATCAGGAAAAGGTACGAAAGAATTCCCAAAACATTAGATCAAGTGGAGAAAATGGGGCACAGTGATATTACCAAGAACAGGACATCCCTCCAAATTGACATAAGGACAATAACTTATCAGGGAGGCTGCCAAGAGACCTATGACAACATTAAAAGAGCTGCGGGAATATCTGGCAGAAACTATTCACTCCCTGCATGTGACACTAATCTCTTGTATTCTTCACATGTCTGGGCCCTGTGTTAGGGTGGCTAGATAGAAGCCCTTTCTCATGGAAAAAAAAACATCCAAGCCCACCTAAATCACCCCAGACCATGTAGCAAAATGTGTTATGGTCATATTTTATAAAACATATGTTTGATGAAAAAAAAACAAGACAGCTTATCACCCAAAGAACACCATATCCAAGTATAGTGGTGGCAGCATCATTATATGGGGCTGCTTTTCTTCTGCTGGGGTTCTACTCAAGGGAATCATGAATAGCTCCAAATACTAATAATCTATTGTGGTCCATTTTTTAAAAAAAAAAATTCCATTTCTGATTTCAGCCTGAGCAAAAATTGATTTTCTTCCAATCTGGGAGAATTAATTAATGAGATAATTACCATAGTCTCCCGGCCAATTCAGGAGAGTTGGCAACCCTAGACAAATGGCAGAAATGTACTTTATACTTGAAACTATTCTGTAGTTTGTTGTTGTAGTTCTTCATCTTTTGGTTGCTCCTATTAGGGGTTGCCACAGCTGATCACTGGTCCACATATTTGTTTTGGCATAGTTTTTAATGCTAGATGCCCATCCTGATGCAGCCTTCCTCAATTTTATCTGGGATTGGGACTGGCACTGTTGTGTACAACCCTAGTGGCTGGGGGTGGTTCCCTGGCTGGGAATCAAACCTGGGCCACAGCGGTGAGAGAGCTGTGGCCTAAACATTAGTCCTTCAGGGAGCCTATGCTGTAGTTTGTTACATTATACAAATGGAAATTCTGCCTCACAGACCCAGGGTCCTGAGTTTGACAACTCAAAATAGCTAACTGAAAGGGTGATAAAATAGCTTACATTCCATGCACACATTATGATTTCATCAATTGGATTTATCTTCAGAGCTTCATTAAGTACACAATTAAGTACACAATTGTTTGTTTATATTGTGGATTGACAAACAAACAAACAAACAAACAAACAAATAAATAATGCAAAATAATAGGATATACTGGATTAAGTGCTATTATATAAACTTCCAAATAATGAAGGTGGAATCCATACTGATACATTAAACCAGATTTGCATAAGGTGAGAGTGATGAGGAAGGAGGGAGGGGCAAGGCTATGAGGATGCACACCTGGCACCTCCCTCCTCATCGTCACAGTAATGATTACAGTGATCATTATTCATGCAGTAATATAGTGAGAATACATTAGATTCCTATTATATGTTTGTTTAATTACTTGCCATCTTCTGATTCATATATCACCATATTATTCTTTCTTATTTTTTTTTCATTTTTTGCTTTTATGTTACACTGTATTACATTTGACAGCAAAGAAAAAATGCTATTTCATTATTTAGTCCACTTTTTTTTAATCCTTGATTTTATCTGGGTTTAAAGACAAATATGTATTTAAAGGTGGTGGTCAAGACGCTAGTGAAAAACCCTCGTCTATTTAAGAATATGGCAACCTTGGAAGCGTGAACTAAATTCAGAAATTTACATAATCTGAATGGGGAGGCAAAAAAATCTACTTAAGCATCTGCATAACCCATCTCTGAGTACATGCAAGTTTCCTAGCATAAATACTGATGTAGCTTTTATAATTAGGTCACCAACTCTGAATATGGTCCTCTATGAATATGTCAGAATAAAAAACTCCTCCAGTGACACTTTTTTGCACTTTGACCAAAATATGTACACAAATAATTTCTCTCAACAGAAAGTTACCATTAAATTATATTGAATAAAGTTTACAATGACTGTTACAATGACTGAATGTCAAATTACCCTCACCTTGTGCAAAACACTGTATTGTGTAGTACAATGGAAAGTAGGAGTCATGAGAGTACACTAAATATAATGGAAGAACAAAGTTAACATGATGTCATTGAATGATATCATGGTGTTGCAGATAGCATACCAGTGTGTGTGGGTCAGTCTGTTATTTTTAGGTAAAGGCTCCGACTCTGAAAATTGTTTCTACATCTGTTAGACATTTTATTAGTGTATTTATTTTAAAAAGGGAATTTTTATTCTTACTGTTTTGCCAAGTAATTTTTATGAATTAACATTTTTAGTAAATTATTAAGAGAGAAATTTGGTGTCATGTCAAAGCTATTGACAGAGTAAGGTAAAAAGTGATGCATGAGGATTTTAATTGAAGGGCAGGCATTTGTAGGTCAGACTGCTCATTTACAGGAATCTAGAAGGAGAGCAAAATGTTTACTGGGAATATAATATTAAATATAAGACAAATTGGCGATAGCAACCCACTAAGAACCTATGGTATTCCTGATTTGCTCTGCATTATTAATATGTAGAAAGGTATATTGATACCTGTATATTTTCATCATATGGCAATTTTGATTAGATCTCAGCAAAGGCAAAAGTAAAAGAACACAGAAAAGTCACAACTTCAGGGTTTAAATTAAACCAGAAAGATGCCTTAATCCAAAATGGTTATTATTACATATTAGTTTTATTATAGATATTATTGTATATTATTATGGCTTTTATAGTATCTTTGTCCCATCCATTTTATGACAGTTTCTGTAGTAGTGAATAACAAAGAAACCCATGGGGTAAAGGTGGGGTGCTCAGACACTTGCTAGGTACCTGAGAGCTTGATTAAGACTCATTAGGGCTTGCATGAAGCTGATGGAAGTTATGTGGTGGTAAGTGGTGGTGATTTGAGGGTGTACATCAAACACCAAAGAGGTTACAAAATCACAAGTGATATTGAGGTGGGCAAACAAGCTCTGAAAGTAGGCAGATAGACACCATTTGCTTACGAACTGGCTACCTATCAGGCTGATGAAATAAGATGGATACAGTCACAGCACCTGTCTTTCACCCAGGGATTGGCAAAATTTATAAGAAGGTAATTCAGCCCATGTTGTTTGTATATTGTTTATTACAGTTTGTTCAAGGAATTGTGCTATTCTAAAGTCTGTTTATTTCCAGTTTTATGTTTATGTTTACCTGTCCTCTTAACATTTTTAGAGAAGTATTGCAAGCTATAGGTGTCCATGACAGTATATAATTTTATACAAAGAATATGAAGCAAAGGTCCCTGGAGGACTAGTGGTTAGGCCTTGGTGCCCTTACCGCCGTGGCCCAGGTTCAATTCCCGGCCAGGGAACCAAACCCAGCCACTGGAGGGTACACTCCCAGTGCTGATTCCAAGCCCGGATAAAATCGGGGAGGGTTGTGTCAGGAAGGGCATCCGTCATAAAAACTGTGCCAAATCAAATATGCGGACCGATGATGCGCTGTGGTGACCCCTGATGGGGGCAACCTGAAGAAGAACAACATACAAAGATTATGAAGCAGATGCTGCTTTAGACAGCCTGTACATTTTTGTGGATCTTTTTTTTGTAACCATCAAATGCAATCAGTATCACACTGAAGTTATGATGTGAGTAACACTTATTTCTCGAAGAGACATTTACTGGATGAGTTAAGCTATTAATTCAACATTACTATATATTGGAGGTCACCTCTTGAGCATACAGAGTTATATAGGGGCGATCTCCTCTGACAAGTCTTGTTAACTTTTGTATATTTTTTCTGTTAGTATTTTTATTAGTATGCATCGAGGCTAAGTAGCTCCCCACCTTGATTGTGGCTTTTAAATAGTGTTAGCTACTTTGCTGCTAACTCCTGTACTGTTGGTTGCTAAATAACATCCAGTGACATTGATATTTACATCACTCCTCTAGATACTGCCTCAATTCAAATAACAGCCAAAAGAATAAAATAAGAATAAGCTTGAAATTAGTAAATACATCGAAATAGGCTTAAAGGTCTTATATTTGTTACACGAAGTTTTTTTTTGCAGTGTAAAGCTTGCTTGTCTCTTTTCTGCCATCCCACCTTCCATCTTATTAACAGGTCGCTTGAGACAGGTTTTTGTTCCTTTAAATCTCAAAACTACTGCTGTCAGACCAGTTTTCAAACATATCAGCCTTGACCCTAATGAAACTTCTAATTATAGACCAATTTCTAATTTCTCTTTCTTTTTTCTGTATAGAGCATTTGAGAGGCAATCTCTTTGAGCCTTTCTGATCAGGTTTCTACCTCTCTTAATACTGAGGCTGCACTAGAATTACTAATGGTCTACTCTTTTCTGCTGATACTGGTACCATCAACATTCTGTTAGATCTCAGCCATCTCCCAGCCAATGCCCTGGTTAACCATAGCTGTCCCATTTCCGTTATCAGTATTTCTGACATGGCTCATGTTTTGTTCGCATCTTATATTTCTGATAGATACCACTATCACCAAATTGGGAAGCATTAATCCTGTCCTAACCATATCACCCAAGATGTCCCTCAAGGATCAGTACTTGCGCCCCCCATTTTAACCATATATATATCTTGGCCAGATAATTCACAAACACTGTCCTAGCTTTCATTACAGTGCAGATGATACTTAGTACTATGTCCACTACGGCTCTTCCTCCCACCTCATTAAAAATCATAGATGGACTCCAACTTTCTTAAATTAAACCCTGATAAAACAGATTTTTTTTTTTTTACTAAAATCTTTTACAATTTTTTACTAAAATTCTAAAATATTTCATTTATATAGATGGCATCACTGATAACATGTATTATTCATAAACTCATGTACAATTTTTTACAATTTTTAAACTTTCATTTGAACCCCATATTATGTCACTCACAAAATTACTTTCCATCAGCTCTGTGCCTGGCTTTGACTCTTACTTATTTCAAAAGATGCCTAAACCCTTGCTTGGTTCCACCAATACCGGCCTGTGTTTGTGCTTAAGACCAGACTGACTTTAGCAGAGGGCAGATATTTTAGTGCCATTGCCTCCGGACTTTGAAATGCCACCCCTCAAAACCTTTCTGACTGAATGTCCTTCTCCTGTATTAAGAGTCAGCTTATGAGGCTGATCCCCTTGCTTGATATTGTGTTAATATTAATATTTAAGTTCTTTTAATCTCACAATAATACAGGGTAATTGCTGTATTGTGCTGTGGTGTTAATGTTTAAAGTGTAATTGCAATATTAGCTGTATTCTTAATGTAACATGTGTACTGTAGTGTTGATGCAAGACCTTGGCTCATTCCAGATTTACTGTGTGTGACTCATATTTAAAATAGCCTGGATCATGCCTTCAGAACAGGCATGTGTATCAATCAACAGAGGCACGCACATGTACAGCAACTGCAAAAATAGACTATCACACAGGGTGCTGGCAAGCTGCAGAAAACATCCACTGGCATGGGATATTACCTTAAAGAATTTTATTCTGTGTCCATAGGTGTCTGAGTATTTCTGTGGACCAGTGAACTGTGTATGTATATAGCACACACAAGAAATTTCCAAAATCATGCAAGTACCTAATATCTACACTGTCTTAATATTTTAACATATACTATATATGTATACAATTACAGTGTTTTCCCCCTCATATCTAATTTAAGGAGGCAAAAAAAGAAATGTGGTATGAGTTTTTTGTTGGGTTGAGAAAGTGGGCAGGAGTGAAGCTAATCATTCTTAATGTCTTAGACTGGCCATCTGTTGTTCCATTGGCCCCAAGAGGGAAATAGTCTACTGATTTGTTTGGGCTCACCATGTGCATTAATGGAATGTCGCACCTCCCACCGGTAGGAGTACTTCCTTTCTTGTGTTGTATTAAAACCTTGTGTCCCACTGAGTCATACACATCCCTTACCACAGAGGCTTATAGTTCCTTCCTGTACTGAACACCAACCACAGAAGTGGACTTATCATGAGTTCCCTGACCACTCAGGAGTGTCAATCTTTTAGCAGGACTGTAAGAAAGGTCAAGGTAGCCAGCACCAATCTGGCAAAGAGTTGGCAAAGCTGCAAAGTTTCCAAAGAGTACATAGGAAAACAAGACACCATCTCTTCAGCCTGGCTGCCTGACTCTATTATTGAGGAAGAGAAAGAGAAGGAAACAGAGAGGAGCAAGCTCCCGGTCACGCCTCATGTTTTCACAGTCAATGATCAAGTGAGTGGGGACTATAAGATTAAGACGGGCATGGTGAAAAAAAACATAACAACAAAACACAGTGAGGGAAACCATGATCTGGCAAGCTCCATCAAGGAAAAAATCCATGCCCATCAGACTGCCCCAGGGGAGCCAAGAAACTTCATGGGCAATGATTCTCTCAACAGGAAACACCACTGTGGTGAGAAGACACTTGGACAGAAAGAAGAACGAAAATGTAGCAGTAGCTTAGATACAGAGGATATTGGACTGGTTGAAGATGCACCTCTAAGTGACAACAACGATCCAACTGAAGTCGAAAAGATCAAACCTATTAACAGACCCAAGGTATATTGTATGTAAGAGAGAATGTTTGTTTACTTTGTTATTTCACCAATTTTTTTACACTGGTGCAGTTGTTTAATTGGGGGAAAGGGGCTATTATTTGTAATGAGTAAACTGTTTGAAGCAAAGATAGTGAATGCCATTCATTTTTAGCATTGCAGTTTATTATAGACCAACATCAGTGGCAATTGGATATATAAAAATTTAACATCTCAATCAAACTATGCCTCAAACACTGCATTCCCCTGTTAATGACACTGCAACATTCTGTACCATCTCTAACATGTTTTCTTCCATGGAATATTATGTGAGTAAATGTATTAGATTTTTTTTAAACCTGACCTTTAAAGTATAGCACATGGCTGTCTGTACTCAAGTAAGTTGAGTGTCACACTGCCACGCTGGGACAGGCATCTCTAATTTCATATGACACATTCCCGCATGTGTATAGCATTAGTTGGAATAAGTGCCGATTTAACTCTTAATGAGAAATATCAAGCAGCTACTGTCTCATAAATGAACCTGATACCTCAAACTCCTTTACCAATTCCTATGTTGTCTTGGGGTTCAATTGAACCATTTGGACCAAAGTTAATTAATTCCTGGGAGTTACTTTGTGCCTCCTTCCTGAAAGATTCAGTGTCTGTGTGGTCCCACTATTTTTATTTTTGCAATTGATCGTACAGATGCTTATGGTATCTTCATTTGTTTGCAAATTGCTCCTAAGAAGGAACAGGACTTGTGGAGTTCCACAGGTTTTTTCTTCTTTCTTCTTGGCTGGGTTGCTTGTATTTTCCCATAGTATCAATGGCAAAAAGGCACAGTCTCTAAAAATATCCCTATTTACAGCCACACATATGCTCCTATTAACTTCTAATTATGATAGTTGGCCAATAAGAAGCTTCTAAATTTTATTTCATCAATTATTGGAATCCTCCAGACTGTTTAAAGTCAATTTAGTGTATGTAAACATTTGACCCACTGGAATTCTGATATAGTGAATAAATAAATTAATAAAACTGATTGTGATGTGAACAAAGTAGCCCTAACTGAATTGCCAAATATACGGTAACATGAAATGTGTGTAATTATGAAAAACTGAGATTGAATATCTTTAATTTAGGTGCATGTACACTTTTAGCTTCGACTGTCTTATTAGTTCAACAAAATGTTTGCTTGATTAGAATATGATTATTTTGTCATTCTATACATTTTAGATTAAGGTGTACACAATCGGGGACCTGAAGAACCAATGGCAGAAATTTGCTGAGGAGCATGTGGAGGGTCAGAAACTCAACCCTTTTAGCGAGGACTTTGATTACAATCATGCCATGGCTGTGAGACTTCATAAGGGAGAAGTGGGATATGGACACCCCAAAGAGGGCTCCAAAACAGCCCAGCGAGCTGAACGTGCCAAGAATCATATCCACCGGGAAATGGACGAGATGTGCTACATAATCCGCAATATGGGACAGATGGACAAGGAAGGTCATATTTATGTCACTTTCGGTCGGCTCTTTGACCACTATGTCAAGATCTCTGATAAGGTAGTGGGGATTTTGCTTCGCTGCCGCAAACACAGGATGGTGAACTTTGAGGGTGAGATGTTATGGCAGGGACAGGATGATGATGTTCAAATCAGGCTGCTGGTGTGATGGAATCTGGAATGCTGAGAAAAAGTCAGGTTTATTTATTTATTTTTGTTTGTTTGTTTGTTTATATATTTGAACTGTCCAACTATGCGCTTAAACCACTGGGGGGAAAGCAGAGGTAAAAATGAGAGCACTGTCAGCAATGTATGTGAATTCTGG